ACTTTCTTCATACTCAACTTTTTGCAGATGTTCGAAGGCTAGTTAGGAAACTAGAAGATTAGCGCTTTCAAACAAGCACCTGACTTTTTCCAACGATCACTCTCTCAAAAATATAGTCCCGTTGTTCCGTTTTTGGGGGTTTGTGGTCCGATTTTTGAGAAGGCGCGAGTTTTCGACATTCAAACGTTCATAACTTTCTTCATAATCAACTTTTTGCAGATGTCTAAGGCTAATTAGAAACTAGAAGATTAGAGCTTTCGAATAAGTGCTGAAACTTTTTCAAAAATCACTTTCAAAAAATAGTCCCGTTGTTCCGTTTTTCCCCCTTGATTTTTTCAAGCCATTTTCCTGGAACGCGACTTTGCAATCTTCAAACGTCCATAATTTCCTTCAAAATTCATATAATGAGAAGCGGTAAAATTATTGAAGTCTACATGAAGAGTGCTTTACAACGTATGCAAAATTTTCCTGAAAAGCTTTCTTCTGCTAGAATTTTGTGAGGAGTCTCTAATCGATTCAGCAAGTTTAACTTTCTTCCACTTAGATTAGATTTGTTCTGAAAGCATCAAGATTCTTTTGAGAAGTTTGTCTGCTCACGGCCGCTGACAGATAAAGCGTTTTGAAGTGAAAACTCCTGCTCGGGTACGCCGTGCACCTGTCTGTGGTAGCAGTCGCACTAGCATTTGAAAGTCCTCCACTCCCCTGGAGACGGTGATAGTATCGCGATTGTAGTTGTATTGTACTGTTACATGAAGTCCTGTTTTCTCCATGCATTTCACCGCGGTCTCTAGGTATACGACCCCCTCGCTGTTCTTTGCGCAACGGGCGATTGACCCTGGGTGGGGGTTCGAGTCGCACCTGGGCGAAAGTTGTCTTCATAACCCAGTATTCTTGTGAGACATTGAGCGGTGAATGCAGATATTATAGGAAACTTCTTCAAAAAGCGGAAAGTGTCGGGTGCAGACCAAACACCACAACTGACGACGGCCTCCAAGTAAATCTGGTTAGAAGTTGTTCATAGTGATAGCTGATTTCTGGTAAATGATAGTTGTAATTAGTGACAATCGATAGAATACAACTGCAACAGGCTAATCATTTCATTGGCAGAAAACATTAACATTTTGTGAAGGCCGTCGTCACTTGTGGTGCATGGTCTGCACCCGACACTTTCTCGCTTTTTGAAGGGGAGTATATATTCGTGGAGTAACAAAAGTAAACCGCGGTGAGTTTCCGAAGTTTTGAATGAAACTCAATTCCTCGATATCCATTTCTGATTTATTTAAGCAAAATTGAGAAAAATTACAAATTTCAAAAGTGTTGTTCTATGCGCACAATAAAATGCTTTATGTACAAATACAGGAATTATGACATGATATCCTCAACAGGAGGTAGGAAAATGTTCAGGTATTTAAATTGATTTTGAGACAAGACATATACAAACGAGCTTCCAAAAAGCAACGAAAATGAATTTTTAAATACATTTGGAAAAACTGGGATAGCTGACGACTTTTCCTTTGAGAATATTGTGTTAGGAATGTTAGTAGGAATCTAGTAGTTCTGTGAGACAGTAGAACTGCCCTTACACTTAGGAATCGTCCTCTGGAAATGCATGTGAAATGGATAACCATTTCACATGCGCAAAAACAATACTCATTTCAGCAAACACTATCCAAAGTGAAAAAGCAGTCCATACAAACCCATTTAGCTCAGTTGATCGATATCGAACGATCACCTTCTGCGGGTTTGTAAATATTTTTTATAGTCCAAATGATAACACGACGCTTCATCCACGTGTTCTTCGAGTAAGAACCTCGATATGTACTCAAGATGAACACCTTTGCGCCAACGCTGACCAGCATTTCCAACTCCTAAAAACAACCAGCGCATGCGAGTTCGTTCCATAATCGAAAAAAGGCTCACCTCAATGTTCCACATTTCACTTGCGCAAACGACAGCATGAGTTGGTCGAAAGACAAGCGGGGCACCTTCATTGCCATGTCTGAACGCTACTTCAGCTCCGCCGGCTTTCAACATTGGAGAGAGACCAGACGCTTTCTCATCCGAACAGTACAAAACACATCGCCATCCATGGAATGGCACCATGCACGGCCCGTAGAAGAATTTGATCATTCATAAAAAATTTCGATGTAATAAATGAACATAAAAGCTAACAAAATAAAATATGATAAAATAAAAAAAAATTTATAAAGAGTTGACGTTAACAAGAAATAAATATTAGGGCCCTCGTGTCCTTGGGGGGACGTTCAAAACAGGGCATTCAAAAACTGCTCGTGGGTGACACTAGGGACCAACCCCAAGAGAGGAGAAAAACACCAGGGAGAGCAAAAATTGCTGACAAGCTCTCCCGGGATCCCTTCGCCTCCCGAAGCTTATCGCAGGTGCTGTGAGTGGACAGCTCAGCTAAAAAACGTCCCCCCGCCCCCCAACGCCCGCCTCACCCACGACATGAGGCGCGCACTATTAATATCATGGTCAAAACTCTCATCCAAATATAAATGTTTCTAACCAACGACAGCTTATAAACAGGAATTTCACCGTAACAGTTTGCCTGGCTCTCCAAATTTCAAACGCCAACGTCTACAGCTTGTGCCAATTTCTGCTCCCTTTCCGGTAAACTAGCCAAGGCTAGGCGAGATGGCTCTCCCAGCTCGAAATCCTGCTCCTAAAGTAGAATCTTACTGGATGGTTATTAGTAGAACAGGAGAACGAACTGAAATAGCTTCTTAATGAGTATTTCTCTTTGAAAAAGAGCAGGAAGATAACGCATCTTCAACTATGTCCACAGCTCTTCAAATTGCTGTAACGAATTTCAAACAGAACTTTCAAGGCTTTGAATATTTTAACTCCAAACTCTTTCTAAGTGCTCCAATAGAGTTGTTTCGAGCATAATGCGCATATTGCACCCGACATACTATGCGAGCTTAAGTGCATTCAAGTTCGAGAAAACAAATTCAAACAAGTGAGAACTAACGCATCACACGACCTCTTAAGCAACCAACCAATTTTAAACAAAAACCAGTCTCATTCAGATGAGAAAGTAAAGATGGATCGTCTGAAATTACATACCGGAAGCCATTTACCAGCTGCCAAGCTCTGATCCACGTAATCGGCACCGACGACCCACGTGCGCCCACTTGCGATACAACCCATAAGCTTCGCACCGCGAATCTAAAGAGCTATTTACTATAATAAATCACAAAGTCTCTCATGAATTGCTGAGCTCCTTCTGGTAGACATGACTGAAGGCGCTATCACAAGACAGGGGACCATTAACGGTGGCAATGAACAAGCGTAAACATCTCCTTGGTTAAAAGTCTGAGCTTAGCCATAAGGCAGAAAGAATAGCGACTACAAGGTGCGCGAACGATTTTATTTTCCCAGATTTCCTGCCTCCTTCCAAGCCTAGCCCTAGAGATGCCTCCGTATCTTGCGATGAAGTCCGACTGAATTTAGTGACAAGGTCCAGACGAAATAATTGAGGAAAGGAGATCCCTCTATACAGAAGCGAGTTTGCTTGTTTACGATTACTGATACAATCTCACTAAAGAACAGCATAATTTGTACCCACTGATGAATAGAATGGTCCCAGCCTTTCCAAAAAAAAACCACCAAAAGTTTCAACTCACTAGTTTTCCACAGATTAAATGTGTACACTCTTCGCTCAATTCACCAGAATCTGCTATTCCTCCCAATCGACTTATAATGTTCGACAGCCGTAGCCGCTCCTGAAAACTCTTATTAAATGTGGAAAGTGAAAGTCGGAGTCATGAATCTGAACTTTAAGAGTTAGCGGATATAGTAAAGTTATCTAACAAAGCGAAACTCTGTGCAATAAGTGTCCAACCCTAATATGATTCCGGAACGTCCACCATCCAATCTCGGATCAAATCGTCCAAAAAAAAAAACGAAGCCCTCCGGGACTCCCGTGTCAGTAAATTTGAATCGCGTAGGGTGGTTAGCCCCGAAAGTCAGATACCAGATAACAATCAAATGCTATTTGAAATTGTGAACAGGAAGCCAGAAGTGGAGGCCATACCAAATGAAATTGAAGAATAACCGAGAACGCCAATTGAAGCCCATAGAAGGTAAAAGACTGCACCACACGGAGCTTCGAGCTAAGGTTTTCCGCATGGTAAAAAAGAGTATTGCACCACCGAGCCACCGACGACAGCAGTAAGAGGCTTCGATTAATTTATAAATCGCCAGTTTAAAACGCATTCTGTTTTTGTTTGTAGGTGTCGATTAGTTACACAGCTGCGTCTTATTCAATAATCCACTGTCAAAAACACATGCCCCTCCTTCACTAGTTTATTGTCCCACTTTTATGGACCACTTTTGTTAAAAGCAGGTGGTACGACAAATTGGTCAATCGTTGGAAATGAAATTAGGACTGCAAAGAGATGTGCCAAACCAAAAAAGTCAAGGGAAAACGTCTCGAGCCCCGCAAGCGAAAGTTTTATGTCTCATCTGCGCCAACGTCATCAAAACGTGAACGCTCCGCTCTGTCTTAACGGCAGGTCCGACGGCGAGAGATAAGCAGGTGGTGTAGCCAATAAGTATGTAGGTGTGGACGGCCGCAAACGGAATTCACCGTCGGGGTAAGACTCAGTCAAGCCGGGGTAACGGACAGGAGGCCCGATGCGTGATGAGAGGACAGAGACGCAGACGAGACAGTGGGCAAGTCGGAGCGCGTGTGCTATGAGGGACGTAAGTAGGCCGATTCTGTTTATCTTCACGCCAGATCGCGAAGTACATCGCTGTGAGACTCAGTCCGCAAAACCATATGGGTCCCTGACTTTTCGCCGCGCATAACGGCGCTCCTGTCTAGGTACGCCGTTAAGCCGCTTACGCGAAATGTCGTCTCGAACTCTCCTCAGAGGCACGTCTAGTGGCATATTCTCAAAATTCCTAACCTCCAAAGAACCGAACCACCCTTTAGGCCAGAACTGTGTACCCGTGTAGCGAACTGTTGAATTGGTGCAAAAGTGCGTAAGCGGTAGGTTTAATAACTAGAATTTCCAGAATATTCTTTGTCTTCCTTCTTTTTTTGGCTCCAGAGCCAAAAGAGCTTTTTCCATTCAAACACATTCGAATAGAACAGATTTTTCAAAGAAAGAAAAAGAAAGAAAACGCAAAAAAAATATCAACATACGTGAGGAGCTACTGAGGTGAATATAAATCGTCGAACTGTGTCGCTGAACACAATGGACGCCCTTTCCTGCTTGATGGAAATACGTGCCGATGACGGCTTTGAGGAGTTGCCATTTTCTTCTTCCGCTCCAGCTCGATCTTCCCGAACGACACAGCATCCTTCGGACAATGACTTCCTTGTCTGCACTGCAGCAGAGTCGTCCACCAATGCTTCGGCACCTCCAGATTTCCGCACTTTTGATGAGACTGTATGCGAATTTGACTGACCAGAGCCCTGTGGAAGAACAGATCCTCGTGGAGGTAGTGGTGCGCTGCGACTTTCTGCCTGAGCTCGATGAGCTTCCGGAGTTTCGCCCTTGTGCTCTCCGGGAATTGGGCGGGAACGAATGAGCGCCAGCCGTAGTAGGTACTTGTGCAGCCAGCCACTGATGGCCTGGAATCTGATCGCCGAAGATCTGTACGACCTGGTGTACGGCAAGAGTTGCTTGAAGTCGGTTCCGACCCGTTTCTCGAGGTTTCTAAGATAGTGACATATAAAATACACTTCAAAATATTAGAGCAAACTTTGATCTCGTATCATACCTCAATTCTGAAGACCAATACTTGCTTTCTCAACTAGGACATCGTTACAGAGTATTCTCTGTCTATTACATCAAAGCAAAACAAAAAAGCTAGCAGAAACTCCAGTTTCTTAATAAAATCCCTTTTCATATGAATAGATCTAGCTTGAGCACTATTATGATAACCACAAATTATTAAGTGCACAGAATGAACAAATCATAACAAAAACATCGTTCAAGAGTTTTTTGAAAGATTCATGTACTTCAGCAATGGAAAAAATGCCATAATTTATGAGAGAGCTTTCAAGTTTCCCAAGAATCTCAATCAAAAAAATACCTGGGGAACATGCTTCAATTCACGTTTGCTGATCAAATCGATCTTTTTTGATAAATCTTCTGCAGCGTTGCTGTCTGAGAACCTAACTGCCGACCCTTAGAGACACAGCACAGAAACACAGACGAGTTACACGTTAGTGAAAAAATTCTAGAAACTTTAGTTTTGTAGGCGTAGTTTACGATGAGAAAGTAGTAGGCAGCCCTTCAAAAATCAAAGTAAAGGTGGTATACGGTGCAGGTGTGAAGGAAAAACCATGAAAAATGACCCCAAGCTCGAAAAATGGGACTCATAATTTGCCCGTTGATCTCCACATTGGTGCGGCTCTCTCGCTGCTGCCCTCTTCAACGCTAACGCTCTCTCTCTGCCAAACGACTAGAGATAGAGGGCGGGAGGTAACCTACGGCGAGGATGTAGGGCGCGAGCGAGTGGGTAATCCAGGACATGTTCGCTCGAAACCGCTACATCGTCCTGCAATCCTTGAGAGAATCGCTTGCCATTTGATTAACCTAAGTATATTTCCCTTCTTCGAGCTTCCGACCTATCACGGAATCCTCCTTCAGAAGCAAACTCGTGATAGTATAGATGGTACGAATTGGTTAACTGGATTCAGATGTGAAGCAGAGGCGCTAGCTGACCGGTCACTGAAGAAAAAGAAGACGTCAAACACACTGAAAATTAGGTCTAGCGGCTGAGTTTCCCAAAATTTCGAGGCCATTGTGCGTTTAGGGAAAGGCATGACCAAAGAAACAACCGCCATTGAGGGATAAAGAGAGCAAATTACCGCATTTTGTGAAGAGCAAGGTTGCTGTTATGTTCGTGCTCCAAAATCCCTCGTCTTTTGAGGCACCTTGCAAGCGTTTAAGCACGCGTTAGCACTATCTCTGAAATCTGTTTTTTTGCTACCCTATTCGTGGAGGGATCCCGTCTCAGTGTAGGGTTGGGTAATGTGCTTTCGGAGGCAACAAGCAAAGACAACACTGTTCTTACAGAAACCTCCGCTAAGAATGGAGAAAACACTCACGCGTAGTTTGATGAAGAAAAATTAAAGAAACGCAGATACCACCAATAGAATGGCCACTCACCGGCGGAAGCGTAGCATCTAACGGTTCTTCCAAATTGAGGATGGAATTTGACGACAATCTGCAAAACTCACTTCCAAAAAATTCATTTCGAGCAATTATTTTAGGCACAGATTCAAAATAAAACATTGCCATAGCATAAAATCGAAGAAAAACGAATAATCACGAGAATACCTACCAAGCTACTTAAAAAAAAACAACCAATAAACACAAGCGAAGCAAATCGCAAGATGCTTTCAAATTTATGAGTACTGTACTGTGAATGTTAAAGTGCTGTTCCAGAAATTATTAGCTCCCTTCTGAAGGTCATTGTATTCCTCTGTTATTATAGCTGCCATGTACGTTTAAGCACAACTTCTCGAAGTTGCAAGCAGTAAAAGAAGGAAAAAATGAAAGGAGAAAAAAGGCATTGAAAGAAACGAAGATAACGCACTTGCTAGGCATGGCCGGCTGCCATTCTATTAAAGGCCGGGGTGTTTCGTGCTCTGACGATCTCGCAGTCCCTACTTGAGAAGACCTTTTTGATGACGGCTCAGCTTCCTCGGTAGATGGCTGGCCACGTTTTCGGCCGCGCAGCGATCCCACTTCTTGAGTTGGTTTTCCTGACAGAGGACCTTCTGGAGCCGAATTGTTTTCAGCCAGTTGGTTCGCTGTAGATTGAAATAGTATGGCACAAAAAATAGAATCAAAGAGGTAGTCTCCTATACCACTCACCAATTTCCCGATTTCTTTGCTCCAATCTCTCCGTCATTCGAGCTCCACGCAGTCATGTCGCCGCCATCGATCTTGTTCGTCTTGGTTGAACAAACAGCCTTTGCCACCGATTTTTGTTTCGCTACAGATTTTCGTGAGCTCTGGAACAGAAATCTCTCAAGAAAACAGGTAAAGTGAGGAAACCCGTTCCAGAAGTTGTCGTCTTGGGAGATGTGAGATACCTGTCTCGTCGACTGCTGAGGCTTATCCAAATCCTGCACAGAAGCAGGAGGTATAGAAGAACTTGCAGCGACAGGAGCACTCCGCTGAGGCTTGACGGCAGCTGTTTTAACAGCCACTTCCTTCAAAATGCGGCCAACCATAGAAGTGGTCTGAAAAAAAAAACTATCAGCTCAACGAGCAGAACTTTTCGCTACCAATTAGGCTTTTGATCTATGCATCTAGCTGATCATATAGAAAAAATTGCTCACAAGGCTGTCATTGCTTGTGTCACCACTTGTCGATCCTGGAGAGGGTATAGTTTTCAACGGCCTTGGGTTAGGCCTTGGAAGCTGAAAAACCTCAGTATGGAAACATTGAAAGGAGAAAAAAGCATTGAAAAAACGAAAGATAACCGCACTTGCTAGGCATGGCCGGCTGCCATTCTATTAAAGGCCGGGGTGTTTCGTGCTCTGACGATCTCGCAGTCCCTAATTGAGAAGACCTTTTTGATGACGGCTCAGCTTCCTCGGTAGATGGCTGGCCACGTTTTCGGCCGCGCAGCGATCCCACTTCTTGAGTTGGTTTTCCTGACAGAGGACCTTCTGGAGCCGGATTATTCTCAGCCAGTTGGTTCGCTGTAGATTAAAAAAGTGTAATTGTGTAAAAAAAATGGAAATAAAAGATGTATCTCCATACCACTCACCAATTTCCCGATTTCTTTGCTCCAATCTCTCCGTCATTCGAGCTCGCAACGCCATCATGTCGCCCATCCGATCTTGTTCGTCTTTGGTTGAACAAACAGCCTTTGCCACCGATTTTTGTTTCGCCTACAGATTGTTGGTAGCTATGAACAGACATCTCTCAAGAAAACAGGTATGGTTAGGAAAGCTGCTTGAGAAGTTGTTGCCTTGGAGATATGAGATACCTGTCTCGTCGACTGCTGAGGCTTATCCAAATCCTGCACAGAAGCAGGAGGTATAGAAGAACTTGCAGCGACAGGAGCACTCCGCTGAGGCTTGACGGCAGCTGTTTTAACAGCCACTTCCTTCAAAATGCGGCCAACCATAGAAGTGGTCTGAAAAAAAACTATCAGCTCAACGAGCAGAACTTTTTCGCTACCAATTAGGACTTTTGATCTATGCATCTAGCTGATCATATAGAAAAAATTGCTCACAAGGCTGTCATTGCTTGTGTCACCACTTGTCGATCCTGGAGAGGGTATAGTTTCAACGGCTTGGGTTAGGCCTTGGAAAGCTGAAAAACCTCAATATAAATATTGCCATTGAATCACTCAAAATTCAAAATTTACTTTGGTTTGAAGGGTTTGTTCATGTCAAGCGTTCTTTCGTTTAACTTCATAGGTCGTAAACGCGAAGGAACAGCAGATATCGGCGTAGATGTTTTGAGCACTTCCTACAATGAGTAAAATTACATTTTTGGATCGACACCGTTCTGACTCATTTCATGCCAAATAGGGTGACTCAGTTAGGGCCTAACAATCAACTCTAAAACACCCACCGATTCGTCGCTTCTCCTCAAACTGGGCGTGGTTGTTCTGGTTCTTCTTGGGACACTTTGCTCAGGTGTCCTATCTGTCTTGCAGCTCATCAACAATCAAATCGGAGAAGTCATCTCTGGGAGCTTCTTGTACCGAAGACTTCCCCAAGCCGCTACTGCGTAGACGACTATTCCTTGTTGCTTCAGGCCACAAATCGTCCGTTCTTCCTTCATACGAAGCATACGCCTCTCCCTAAACGATGAGATGCAACCCTCATGAAAGTACGCACGGTATCAACAATCTCTTTTATGAGATTCTCCACGCATTCGACTAGGTAGTAATTATGTCCAGTAGAAGGACAGCAACTTGAACAATGCATACCTTGAGGGCAAACTGATCCTCTTTCATGAGCTTATCGTTTATTATCGATTCAATAACCCATGACGGGTCCACTACCTGCAAAATGCGTATGCTATGGAGAACGGAAACTTATCAAGAACCAAAGTGACCTTGAATTTCTGTCGCCGTGCTTCCATCACGCGATCCCCTTCACTACCTCCGATGACGTGAGTAACGGCTAGCTGTAAATTAGGTGATAAACAAAGAAGGTTCACCAGGGATGTTATAATTATGGGCAAAATTAGAGGCAGTAAATTCCGATATTTCAACGACACCAGTCTACAGTTACGCAGTAATTATGCTTACTTCACTGATGATAGCAACTCAGAAAAATAGAAAAATGAAATAGCTGGCTCACCGCAGGTAAAAAAATGCATGAACAAAACTATTATAGTACCAAATCCAATCAAAACTACTAAGCAAAATCACCTGATCACCGCGATTCCTTCTGGTTAACGTCTCTTGCACCTTTCCACCGAACTCTTTGATGAGTTGGGCCAGAGTGAGCTGCAATATGACTACTTCAATAACTGATCAAGGAACCACAAACAGACATTTGCACTGCTTTGCCTTGCTTTGGCTCCTATATAAATGCGACGCATTTGGGCCACAAATGAGCAGTTTTCCACATTGAATATGGAAATGATAAAGGCTTACCCTTTCGTGGTCGCTGAAGCAACTGATGACAGCGACGATATTCGAAAACACTTTGCTATCTCTAACTGCTGGGAATGGCCGAAAGAGTGGATGACTGGACGGTTTCAACAGTCGATGTTCCATCAGGCAGCGTTTCTTAACCAAGTGTTTGAATGAAGCTACTAAAGGTGGCTCTATAATGTCTCATACAAGCTCAAAAAGAACTTACAACCCAAAATACTGTCACTGCCTCTTCGTAGCTATCCTTGGGATAGACCTGATCGAATTCAATGTGGCTGCATACAAGATAGTTCACATAGGCCTGTTCATCAGAGGATGGTACCACTTTACCTTCAAAGAAATAGATAAAAGTACCATGACTTTCAAGAGGAGATCGTACTCGATAACTCGATAGAGCACGTCTGGCAGACGGAGAACCGCTAGGATAAATCAGAAGGAGACGAAGTCACGGCAAACTGATGCATTCACGGGGAGAAATGACAAGCACCACCGTGCGGAGACAACAGGCGGTACGCTGCCATCACAGTCTCATCCATGTCACCACATCTAGTCTGCATTAGATTCCATTCTTTTACTTTAAGATGAGATCCCGGTGGAGTCTTCAAAGCAATCACCCTTTACCACATAGAGTACAATAACAGTTTTGCGTCGGAAACAAATCAAAGTAAAATTTCATGTCATTCCTGATGAACATCGGAAGCTAAAAGTGGTCTAGAGAAAGGATCTCACCTTCCCCAGATTGCAGCTCCTTTACAGTTTGAGCGTTAACGTCGTCGGCCAGACGCCGCACGGAAATTTAACCACTGAAATTTTTACATTGGAAGTAACCTTTGAAAAATGAATCGTCGTAAATCTACATAGGAAAGTTGTCAATTAATGATATGATGATGCGCAAATTCTACCAAAAACAAACAAATTTGTCTTGACAGGCAAATATTTTGATCCAAAGCAAAATATTCGAAACCGAATATACAATCGAAATCATTATATGTATCAAAATCAAATCTAACCAGATATAACCAATTTGTGAAGTCTCACTACCCCACAGCGTAATGACGAAGACGATCGGCAATATATTATAGTTGATAAAGTTCTCACCGAAAGATTGAAGATAAGTCAGGATCATCAGAAATGTTGTTGAGCGGAGCGAAGTTGAGATAGTCGGACGCACCCAAGTCTTTTGTTGCTGTTGTAGAGCCATTGGCTCGCGCAGGCACTTCAGCATTAGAACGCTACAAAATGATTTAGTGGGAAGCAAATCCGTGTTATATGCGTAGAAATTGGCTCAATGTAATTTGCCAGTTAGAGAGAACCACTAAATTAAGAAAAACAAAGCCTGCCTTGGGTGTTTCTTCCAATGCTTGTGCAGAAACGAAAGAACTAGTGCGACAGATGACTTCTTCAGGATCCCATAGAAACTCTGTAAAGACTTATTTCGCAAACATGTGTTAGAATAGGAAGATCGATATACCTTCAAGAGCCACTTGATCCTTCTTCGCATAACATGCGGTTATCCATTCAGCACGAACAATGTGAGCACCACGAGATTTAGCTTGAATTAGTCGACTGCGATCACTTGTGGAAGCATGAACAACAACTATGTGGCTCGCAGCTTCCATACCGGCCACGCGGGTGGCACCACTTCTATAATTGATAGGTAATAGGTAAGAGTATAAGATCCCCACATTTTTAGTGAATGTATTAATATATATTGAGGAGGTAATGATGCCTCCATGTTGTAACTGGTAAGACAATTGCCCAGAAAGCATCCGGGTACGAATCCCAGCTGGGGCGAAAGTTTTGCCCACAACTCAGCATTCTTGTGATAACTTTCGCAACGCGAACTGCGGCGTAAAACAGCAGTTATCCAATAAAAACAAGTCAAAATGGTAACATCTAGTAAAGCTTTCAGCCTTGCGGTTCAATGCCGATATCGGCTAACCGGTTCATCACGTTATACGTGTGAGTGCTGATAAGCTATGGTAACTTTACCATCAAAGCTGAGTTGGGGTGAAATGGTGCCCCGGTGGTGTAACTGGTAGCACAGTTGCCCGGAAAGCAAGAGATCCGAATCCCGGTAAATAATTTACGAATCCCGGTAAATAATTTGAACTTTGCCTAACGGAAT